TTTTGTAAATGGTATGAAATTATGTAAATGGTATGGGACATTGCTGCAGGAACTTGTAACATAACCTCGTATAAATCTGGGTCTACAATTGTTGCAGGTCGTAGATCGCAGAACATAAGCTTGCGCAAAGCACCCAGCTGACACAAGAACCTTGCTCCATCGCCACGTCGCGACGTGTCGCGGGGTGCTTTGCGCAAGCTTATGTTTTGCTATCAGGCCCCTGCAACAATTGTAGACCCGGCTTAAAAGATTAAAACGTAATTAGAAACGGAACATTAAAAATTGTCTCCAACAAATAACAGAAGAGTAACAAAACTACCGAAACTCTAAGCAGAACCGAAACACCGAGTATGGAAACGAAACCAGCAAAGCCACCTGAGTAACGAAATCGTAAAGAAACCTCTTGGTATTGAAACGAAATTTAATTGTTAAATATTTGATATCTGACGAATTTAACATCAATTTTTGTAAAATTATAATAAATTTAAGTCCGTCACTAAAATGCCCAAAAGCCACTGTTGTTAACTTCAGCCCGTGACTAAAACTCCGCAAAGTCAAATATAATTTAACCATTATGACTTTTATTTAAAATATTAATATACTTGACAGCTTGACAGCTACTAGACAGATCACAATGATTTTTACCAGGGTGGAAGAAGAAGGTGATCTCTATAGTACAGAAGCAAGCGTCCAGATAAGTTCGTTCGTTCGTTGTTCGTTAGATGGCGAGTCAACTAAGGTTTTACCAACGAAATCCATATATTCTATAACAACCTAACTTTTAACAACAAATTATAAGATAACGAAAACCCAAGGAGAGTCTTCTACCCTCCTTAACGAAAATTACATCTTTTCTTATAGCATTATTATAATAATTTGCAGAACGATTGGCAACTGTTCTGCCAAAATGCACAGTCGCCACAAACGCACAAAAGTGACTTTGAAATGGTTTTATTTGAATTTTAATTAAGCTTAGTGGTCTATTCTTTGAAGTGAAAATGGGAAAAGTTTGATGTGCACCGGGATTAAAACAGGTTCCACTGCAATGCGCCATCTGTTCAGACTTTTAACAAATACTGAGTTATTTGGCCTCGTTCCGGGATGCATTTTTCCGTCTCCTATAGGGCTAGCGCAACCGAGTGCGCTAATCGTGTAGGATACGGAAGCGAGACCTGTATCTCCGTTCCCTAAGTGGTTAACGCACCGCCTGTAATTAGGTATTCTCACTAGAGGCTAAATGTAGCAAAGTATTTCTCAAGGTTATGACGATTAGCTATCATTTTGGTTATGCAGGTACACTGCATTGTGCCATACCAAACTAACCCAAAATTAACAACCCAACCCAACCGACCCCGCCCCATTGGGCCCCTCCCGCCCCATTGTCACAATCCAGCCTGCCCTTAGATATATTATACCTCTATTGCTCAATGTGGCGGGAGGGGCCCAATGGGGCGGGGTCGGTTGGGTTGGGTTGTTAAGTTTGGGTTGGTTTGGTATGGCACAATGCAGTGTACCTGCATAACCAAGATGACAGCTATTCGTCATAACCTTGAGGAATACTTTGCTACATTTAGCCTCTAGTGTATTATCGCGCTATAACGTGCATACAATGATTCGCGCCTTTAAGACATACGTCAATCTGTTTGTTTGGTTATTATTATTATTGTTTTATATGTACATATAAAGAAAGATCACCTAGAAAGCTCATTGCAGAGTGCTTATTCGTATGCGGTGCGTTAACCACTTAGGGAACGGAGATGCAGGTCTCGCTTCCGTATCCTACACGATTAGCGCACTCGGTTGCGCTAGCCCTATAGGAGACGGAAAAATGCTTCCGGGATAGAGATGTATCACCTCCTTCTTCCACACCTTACCAAAACATTATATGCGACTCCATGATTACTAACGGGACAAGCAAAAAAAAATGTTTTAAGAAAATTTATTCCAGTCCTCAGCAATGAAAGTAATAATAACTATTATAAAATTATTATTATATGAACAACACATCTTTAAAACAATTTTATTCAATACAAAAAAATCAGCAAAAAACCCATTTTGAATTTTCTAAATTATCTAAAAAAACCCTCAGGGACACGTGTTCCCTTTAATCCATTTACCTCAAACTTTACAAGAAATTGTTTTTTTAAATTTAGAACTGATGTGTAGGTCCAGCCCAGTTGAATTTTTAAAAAATATATACAGGGTGTTTCTTAATGGGATGCTCCAAAACTTAAAAATTAAATATCTTGATCTGATACAGCTAAACCAAGCACGGATTTGTAATCTACGACCAAAAATTAGGTTCACATGTTCAAACGTTTATCAGTGATATTTTCACCTCCCTACAGTGTTATTATATATTATATTAGTAAAAGTATCGTTTCTACGAGTTCTTTATCATTTTTTGTGGCGCATGTTTTGATACAACTTCCTTTCGATCCTTACATGAAGTAAGATACCGTAACAGAAACGCGTTACAAGTCCCTGCTTTGTTGTGTTTGATATTAGACCCCAGATTTGATTGATCCTTATAACGTGATGAAATCGATGATTTTTGTTCTCGTATGCACTGATGCCTGTAGAATTTGCATATAAATATTTGCACATTTAATAGCAATAATAAACGATGACATGAATAATATTTTAACTAGGTATACATTTTTATCTATCTTAAATAATAAAGTCAGACATATTTTTTGTCAGTTAAAGGGAACATTGGTATTTGATACAGCTATTTTTAGGTTTTTCTAAGTAACTGTATATTTTTACAGGTACACCTGTGTATAATCACATAAAAAGTAAACAAGCAAAATTAGTAAAAAATCACGAATAACGAAGCGTTGTTATCTTTCTACCAGGGGTGGTTTTAGGCATGGCTAAGGTGTTCGTTTAGTATATATTTTGAATGTAATGAAAGGCACTATTGTATGAAATCGTAATGATTTTAATCATATAATAATTATTAATACAAAATAATAAGTTTAAAAAAATATTTATAATACTTTTAACTCTAATATTAAGGGCCTCGCAAAAGCTTAAGCTCCTTGCTTTCCGGGAACACACTAAAATGCAACCGATTGCTCCAACATAAATCATAACAGCTATTACAAGTTGATTTGTAGTTTCAATTTAATAAATAAATAAATAAATAAATAAATATAGGTAACAAAGTGGTATGTGATACCAAGGTTTCCATCAAAGGGTTAGTCACGATAATACAATGTTGAAAGTTTGTTTAGGTTTTAGAAAAGTTTACTAATAAGACATTTAAAAAGTTTGAGTGAGATTGTCCGATTGGTGTTAAAACATAAAAAAAACATTTAATTTTCTAAAAATTCATGTAGGACATATACCTATTTGATAAATTCATGTTCATTCAGTTGCATATAATTTTTCGTTATTTATATTATTTTGCAATAATAAAAATCCGGTCTAGTATATACGCATGTAAAAGTCCGTTGCTATGGATTTTTCCTGCTGGCCATTTGTGGGTATTTTTGAAGGCTGGCCATAGAATCACCTTCTTTCTGTACCTTCTGTGCCATGGATACGGTAAAATTTTTCTTTTTGTTATAGAGTAGAAAGAAAACCCTATTTATTTGGTAATATAATAATCAATGACCGGATTTTAGGCCGTTCAAAATTGGAAATTAGGACCCATAAATAGGCAATAAAAACCTATATTTTAGGCCGATTTAGGCCAAAGGTGCCTAAAATATGCGATATGAAATAAAAACAATACGATTGAACATACCATTTATTAAGGTACTTTCAATAAAAATATATGTCTTAATATAAAATACATAATAAAAATAATAACACAAACTCTAGCAATTAATATTGCCATATGGGCCATATGAATAATTGCCGTAAGAATAAAGAAAATAAAATACCTACTTGTAAAATTTAAAGCAAATCTTTCGACAATATGAATAAACATAAAAGTAAAATAATATTATCTAAAATTCATTTACTATTACATTACTACTAATGAAAACGGGGTTGCTATATTATATTTGTTAATACAATTAAAAAAAGTAGACCTCTTGGAATAAACTTTTTTTACTGTGTAGGTATGTTAAAACCTTAACATCTTGGCACAGCTTTTTCAAAATATTTCGGTGTCATCGCACTGATTTGGCTGAAATATTTTATTTTTGTCCACCCTGAAACCTTTATCCCTGCTTTGGCCTTGGGCATTTCTCGGATTACTAAAATAAATTGTTGGCAATATTAATAGTTTTTGTAAATATCTAATATTTAATTAAATCTCTATAAACTTACCAAAAACAAGCAGGCCGACGCTGAACAAAAAATATAAACAAATACCACAGACAAACACACAAACAAAATTTGTCTGTGATAAATACAAACAAAAGCACGATACGTTGATTCCAACGGTTGTCAAAGTTGCTTTATACATCTGTTGCAATAAAAAATATATTTTTTTCTGAAAAATCGAAAGAGGCTATTTTAGGCTCATAAAAATGTCCTTTTAGGACAATAAATCAAAATTTCGCCATTTTAGGCTTTTAGGTAAAAACAAAGGGGTGTCAAACGCTTTATTTTTTTAAGTTTAGAATTAATTTCAAAGTCCCAAACAAATGCCTAAAATAGAAACAAAAAGGCATTTTGCCTAAAATCCGGTCCTTGATAATCATTCGGTAAAATGTATCTTTCATATCTATCATAGTGAAAAAAGAAAAACCTATTTATTTGGTAATACGAGTATAATAATTATTATGGGTTTTTGTATTGTATTAAATAAATTCAAATGATAAAATAAATTTTATATTTTAAGCTTGTAGGCATTACGTCGCCAATGTATAAGGTATATGGCAAACCCTTTATTCTCAAAATGTAGTATATAAACCTCTTATTTTTTAGGTTTTATAATTTAAAATTAACTATAAATATTAAATTTTTCCTTTAAAGTAACGCTCAATATTTATAAGTAACCTAAGGAAAAATAACGAAATAAACATAATTTATATCTATAGATGGAATGAAATTAATCAAATGTATTTATATTCTTTTTCTATTTATCCAAATTATCCGTAAAATCATTTTAGATCTGGATATTGCCAATGGAGAGATATTATGACACCAGCGACAATTCTAAAAAATCTTTGCCATCTGTATCACTTGGAAACTCCGGTGTACACAGAGACATCTGTCCGCATAGGCGCCAAGCTTTTTAGAGTTGACGAAAGCATGTGTAGGTCTCCCTTCGACGGAACACGGTGTGTAGATAGCTGCTTTCATTGTATTTTGTTTCAGGTAGGAGCGATCAATTTGAGAACAATCAAGTTCTTGCTTTGGCCGCATTGGGGCGCTGGAAGGAGATGCCCATTGTGGGGTTTTCTTTAGTGCCTGAGCATGTGGAGACAAGATCGCTTTTTCATCCTTCAAAACCGGGAATCGAACAGGTAGGATTCTAACTTAGAATTTTTAAGTACTATAGCAAATTGACTGAATGAAGAAGAAATTTGTAATTTACATGGTTTAGTAATATGCTTTTTATTCAAGATAATTTTAAGCTAACGTCTTTATAAAGTGGTTGTTCATCATGCAACTTGCATGATTCGAAATAAATAATGACTTTAACAGTTTTACTCAATTTACCTTTATGAACCATTGCCGATAAAGCTGCCTACATAATGATTACGATGATGTGTATACCCTGATAAAGAAAATGCGTGTCCATATTTTTATAAAAATTAAGGTTTTTTTATTTCTTTGGATTTGTCTCAAAAACACTGAAATATTTATAAAAAGCTCATATTATAGCTGAGCATAAATTTTGTGTACGAGGCAATTTATAAGCTTTCGCCGCCCGGTTTTATTGGCTATTTAAAAAAATTGAATTAGAATATTTCTTTAAGATTTTGTGAAATCATTTTTAGGTTAGGTTCAATTGACATGATGACTTAAGCTTCATTTTTTTACTGAGTTGTATAATAGTTTTACTCTGTTACTCTGTTAACTAGTATTAATATGATTTTTTTTTCTATATAGACTTAAGAGTGTTATTATACGCTTGAAAAAAAAATCCAATGACTGATCGAGATTTTGACCTCTTAATTTTCAACGATTTGTGCCATATCTACACTATTTTTGTTCGTGTTTCATATGAAAATATGTTAGGTACTTAAACATGTTTTAGGAGCTCTTTCCAAAAATCAGCTCGATTTTTTTGGACACGTTTTCAAGGGTTTTAGGGTTCAAGCACCGCCTAAATCAATGCTAGCTTTTGCTTTTTGTAATTGTAATAATTATTAATATGTAATTGTAATAATTATAATAAACTGTTGAATCTTGCAAAGTTTTCAGGTCTATAACTTTTTTATTGCGACACCAATTTTATATTTAATTTTTCTATGGTTCTCACCATATTATCATTAAAGATGGGATATTTAGGTTTTAAAAGAAGCATTTTAGCTTAAAAAAAACAGCATTTTAGGTAAAAAAAACATTAAAAGTTCAAGTTTCGTTTATAATTTTTTTTAGCCGCATACCCAAACACAGAACATACCCACAATAAACTATTTCTATGCAATAAACTGTGTTTCACTGAGTGACACTCACTGCACAGAAGTTCTATGACAGAACATAAGCTCACTACAAAGAAGGTAACTGTAAAGAGAGTTACTGTTACAGTCTGTGACCATAAGAAAAAATTCTATACCGTTTAGTTGCACGCCCTGGATAAAATATTGGCGCAAAATTTAAAAAGAACACAAAAAATAAAATAAGTAAAAATACGTTAAAATAGGTAACAAATATGTAAAAATAAACTGACAAATTAAAAAATATGTAACAAAAGTATAAAAAGGTAGTTTAAAGCAAAATCCTCCAAAAAAGGTAAAAAAGGTGAAAACAAGTTTAAAAAATAGGTAATAAAAGTATAAAAAAGGTAGTTTAAAGCAAAAACCTCCAAAAAAGGTGAAAACAAGTTAGGTTCATATAAAAGAAAATCTTTTAAAACACATTTTGGCATTATTGGTTTTCAAATAGTTACATAGATTGAAAAAAGGTAAAATAACTAAAATCCCATCCCTAATTATCACTGAGAAATTTTTTTCAATTTTGACTAATTAATAATTTTCTCAATCGATTTTTTTTAACATGGAAACTTTTTTTATTTATTTATTTATTAAACCTTAAAAGAATACAGGATTCCATATTAGGTACTTTAGTAGCAGTTAGTTTTTTAAATAACAAATAACAAATATAAATTATTTACAAGTAGATATAAAATAATTTAAAAATATCACAGCATTTACACAGAGAAAGATTTATTAACTTATATTATTTCTTATTGATATACAGTGCTTGCAAATCCAAGTCGGTCGGGTTTGGGAAGGACGCATGAAAATAACAAGGATAGATAGAACGCCAAACAGAAGGCGCTTACAATACGCACGCCTGACGCTCTGACCAATCAAATTCTGTTTGGCATTCTATCCTTATTCTTTTCACGCGGGTATTGAACAACCATCCTTCCCAACGCGGTCGGACTTGGATTTGCAAGCACTGTATAGTGTTCTTTCTCGCCAAACAATGCAAAACAAATCGCTTCCGCCGAAAGGTACCATAAGTGACAAAAACATTTTTTGAACGGGGCATTTGCGATGGTATCGTCGACCCTTTTGATTGCTTCTAATTTTTGCAAACAATTTAAATTATTTTGCATCTCTTTAATGACAAACAGCGCACTGTACCATCCAAAAACAAACGTAAATGTGTTGAATACACAAACTCGTTCGGCTAAAACTTTATTCCAAAATGTAAATATTTTAAAAACATATAGCTTTAGCCATCCATATAGCATCCCGTATATCGGTTTTTATATAAAAATTTATTTTGCTGCTGAAGAATGAAAACAACAATAATTTAAAATTATCCATAGTTCATTTAAACAAACCGCAGAACATGGAATGACGCTTGCAGAAAATTACAACAATATTTAATTCAAAAGTAAAGAGCAAAAGCAATATTTGTTTTTAGCAGTACATCACCATCAGAAAAATCTTTAACTTTATCAAAAAACGATGTTATTAGACAATCGCGTGGTAGATTATATAATTGTGATTTTCATTTAATAAATATCAGTGTTATAGTACGAAGGTTTTAAATAAAACCTCTGTTCATTGTTTCCTTCCTGATTATATTTTCGACCATAGCATCATTTTTTGATTTTGTAGAACTGCGAACAAAACAGAAAAAAATATTGTATCCGCAGAAATGTATACATAAGAAATTCTTCTAATGATGGGAACCTTTATCGAAAATATATAATTTTCAAGGCTGTAGCGATACAGCAGATTAGAGTCAAAGTTTAAAGGAACAAACAGTGCTGGAATTGCTGGGTGGCTAATCCAGCTGGTTTCAGGGTGTTGTCTTGTGTGTTGTTCGAGAGTTTAAATAATCTCTGACCATATTGACCAGTGCAAAGTGTGCCAAAAATACTAGTGGGAGAAAGAGGATATTCCTGGAGCGAGGTCTCCTCTTTTGACCAATAGTACCACACAATATTTTATTCAACTACTCTTTAAAAATGAATTAGTCAAAAATGACTAATTTGATAGTTATAAGTGGCTGCTTTTTCACTTGTACCATGGTTAACCATGAAATACCATGGTATCCAAAAATTTAACAGACATTTCTTATGTAAAATTGTCCCCTGAATCAGAAAATACCGTCAAAAATTATGAAAGTGGAGCAGTTTTTGAAATATAGTCAATTCCATATTAAATGGAAAATTGACTATATCTCAAAAACTGTTTCACTTTTTTAACTTTTGACGACATTTTCGGATTCAGGGGACAATTTTACAAAATAATTAGCTGTTAAATTTTTGAATACCATGGTATTCCATGGTTAACCAGAGTACAAGTAAAAAAGCAGCCACTAATAACTATTAAATTAGTCATTTTTGACTAATTCATTTTTAGAGTGTACCTACCGCAAGGAATTTAAAACCCACTGGTTGAAGTTAAGAAATAAAATGGGTGTTGAATATATAAAGACATTATAACAACAATGCAAAACACATTTATCTATAGACATGAAACATACAGAAATGATACTGCATTATATTACCACAAAATATAGTGTTTATACTGTTGATTAAATTTCTTTCTAGGCAACATGTCCCAGATGACAAGTAATTTTTAATTATAATCTGAATTACTAAAGTCTGATATTTCAAAAAATATTTCTCTTTAATTAAAGCTGTATTTAGGGAATTCTTTGAATTGCTAGGATACTTAGGATGCATTGTTGATATTATAATAATATTATGTAAAATATTTGTTCGACTGGAATCCACTTCATTGTGACACTGCTGTCAATTTTTTTTCTGTTATTATTTATCATTTTAAGCTATGTCTTCCTCCTCTGATTATGCCGAAATGATGAATATTTATGGGAAGTATGGGCGCAATCCTAGGAAGGCAGCAAAAGTTTTTTCCCAGCGCTTTCCCGATCGTTTCAATGCCTTTGATGCATAGTAGGAAAAGCATAAGGAAAGTTGCATGCGAACTTTACGTTCACAGCTCAGCGTTCTGTAGTGATTGCTAGAGATTTTGGCTCTGGGGTACATAACTAGTTGATTAGTTTTTAACTTAAAACATTGGCGTCCTGTCCTGGTATGTCACAATCGAACAAAAGATTTTTAAAAGTTTTAAGACAATAATGTTCTATCATCTCCTAGCAATTTTTAAAGCTACTTTTAACATTGGCGAGAGCGGTATTGGCTGCCGCTTTTTTGCTCTCATTTGATTACACTATTACCTAGAAAGTTTTTAAATTTTTTAAATTTGGCATATTTTTTGCTATGAGCACCCCCCTTTTTCTTTGTGGCGCGAGTTCTGGGACACTCTGTATAACCTGACTACAGTGGCGTATTTAGGGGGGGGGTCCGCCGGGTCCGGACCCCCCCCCGGGCGCACATATTTTATTATTTTTATTACAAAAAAAAGTTTAAAAAAAATAAAAACCTCAAGACTGTCAACGTACTTAATTATTTATTAAATATAAAATCATTAAAATCAAAAATCAACTACTTACGTATTAAAGAGAAAGAGGTGGTTTGGCAACCCTATAGGTATATCGTTCCTACCTCTTTCTCGTGTCGTTATGATCGAGGCGCGAACAGAAATAGAACTATACCATGAATAGATAGTTATTAAAGCATAGCATAGTACATATTTAGTTAGTTTTTTTGGACCTCCCCCGGAGCTAAATCCTAAATACGCCACTGCCTGACTATAATTTGTAGCTTGGCCTGTAATAACTTTCCAAGTTTAAGATACTAAAGAACTGCAAGACAAAGTAAAACCTTTAAATTATTTTTAATTTTAAAGAATACTTTAACAATTATTGTAATTCAAAACTAAAAATACGTTTCAATAATCCAGGTCTTTTTATTTTAATTACGTGAAAAGTTATCTTTTTATTAAAGTGAATATAAAATTAACTTTTTGTAGCAAAAAATTATTAAGCTTTTCACAACATTGTCAGGTTCTCTTTTTAAAGTTTTCTTGCTTGATTACATTTGAATATTTTTAAACAAAACATCCTTTTCAATTTACTTGCGATAACCGAAACATAACAATTCAAATAAACCTGATACCCAACTAACCAAAAGTAATAAATACAGTAAATAAAAGACAATAAATCACGTTTGAACTCAGGTCCAACCCAGAAGGCTCTCTTTTATTTTTATAACATTATCTCTCATAAAACCTTTTAAAATGAGTAAGTTAAACTTATAAAACACTAAAAATTTATAACAAACAATAATATAATTTATTGGATAAAGCAACAACAGCAACCATAATCCAAACGATATTTAAGTTATTTTCTAAAAGAAAATTCTTAAAGAAAGGGACGTCCTACAAACCCTTAAAACCACACACAAAATCTCCATACTGCGACCACAACCCATATATAATAAAAATATATAAATAAATTAAAAATACATTATAACCATAAGATCTCTACAGACGTGATGTTTGTTGGTTTTGTTTATTTTTTTGTTTCTTGGGTAAAAATAGATTAAGTCTCTATTCTCTATTCTAGTCTCTATTTTTGTATTTTAGGTAACTTTTTCCTTCAAGGATTTTTTATCCTTCCTCCTTACAAAGTTTTTATAATTATTAAATGTTGTAAGTTTACTGTTAAATGATTTTTTATGTAGTATTCATTAAAGTTCCGACTCAATCGACTGTTAAAATAAGAAGTAAATAAATAATCGGCTTCGGAATCGTTTCAATTGAAGGTAATAAATTATTAATTACCATAGATTAATAATAATAATAATGACACAAATAACAAGCACAATGTCTGCGTCTGAGCAGATGAAACCATACTTCTATGCACCTCTTCAAATTTACAGAATAATAATTCAAAATGGGTTTCTTCCGCGGCCAGCTATCATAAATTAAATGTCGAAATCGCACAATCGCTGTTGCTAATCACTCCAAATGTAATACCAAATAATTAAATATGACTGGTTCTTACGGGACATAAATGTGAATCTGTAAGTAAAAATCTTATATTCAAGAAAATCGACAGCGTTTATGGAAAATCTCCCTTAGGAATCAAGTACAACCCTAATATTTAGAGTAATTTTTGGTTTATAATGTTTATTAGGTAGAATTAAATGTAATGCGAGATTGTTCAAACGTAAAGTTACATAATTTCGATTTATAAACGGCAATTTATCGAATATTTACTTCTCTACAAGGCATTTGTTTAAACTAATTACACGAAATTGTTCGGGACTATTTATAATACAATAATTTTCTTATTAGAATATACACATCTGCAAATTTAACTCACTTTTTCATTCACCAACTTTTTTAGACCCGATCTTCAGAATGCTCGTTCTTCATTGCCGGTTTTCCTCCTTCTTTTTATCTCATGGCATTACATGCCAAGCGCTTGGCACCCTACGTCGATAACATTACAACCTTAAAATGCTTAGTTACCTGCTTCCCGCTAAATTTGAAGGCCTTTTTGAATACATTTTTTAAACAATTAGGATCGTAATAACCCACAGATCGATTAGTAGGGAGGTATTTGTAGATCTCCTCGAGATAAAAATCAGCATTAAATTATAATCTAAATATTTAAACTACTTATATCATAAATCTTGGTTTTATATGTATATTTTAACTTGTTTTGTATGCTTAGGGTAAAATACAAATGTGGATCGACTTGTTGCAGTACAAAGAAGACCGTCCTTTGCCAGAAGCTGTGGACATAACTCCTCGGAAACCAAAAGCCTATGAACTTCGAGTAATAATCTGGAATACCCAAGATGTTAAGTTAACTGAGGACGACTTTTTCACTGGGGAGAAAAAATCCGATATATATGTCAAAGGGTATAAAAATTCAATCCTTTAATACAAATAAACTAAGACTATTTTTCTCAACATAATTATATTATTATATTATGCAAAACCTTATAAAACTTTAATTTTCCATGCTAAAAAGCGTTTTTTCTTTTTTTCCATTTTGAATTAGAAATAGGGGGTCTAAAGTATTGTTCAAACCTTTACAAAACTTTAGTTTCCTATGATAAAAAACGTATTTCCTATTTTTCTATTTTGAATTGGGAGGTGGATGGGGAAGGGTAAAAGGGGGTCTTAAATGGCCAAAAAGTACCAACTTAAATTTGATGGCCACACAGTTATAGAAATCAGATTTGTAGTTTGTAGAAGAATTAGTAATAATATCAGTTTGTAGTTTGTTACTTTTATTTTGTAAAATTTTAACATAATTATTTTTATAAAACCTGGAATTGTAAATATTTTTAACAAAGATAAAACATTTTACCGAAAGTTTTGTAAAGGTACTATAAAATTATGTAAGCGATTTGTTAATTTTCATAGATAACAGATTATTTTGTTATTGTATAATAAAATATTTCGTTGAAAAAGTAGTAAGTTTAGGCAGCCAATCAAAACATTTCCCACTGACTTTTTTATCGTCAACCATCAAGCTTCAGCATAATAAGTTCTACTGACTTCAGCGTCTGCACCTTATTGTTTTGCCTAATTTATTCTGATTCGTAACGTGTTCTCAACAACTGGAGTGTTTATAATATATTACTGAAGTGTTTAAAATACCAGAATTCTGTTAGTATTGTTATTTTGATTCCTTATACCTATTACGAGTATGCAAAGTGCGAAGTATAAAAAAAGATTCCATCACTGGTTTTCAAACTAATACAGTGAAGTGGGTTAAAGTTACGAAATTCATTAGTAAGTAGTAGTGACAGTTATATTGTGCCAAAATTCTATATAATCTGATGATTTCAGAATGGAGTGTTATTTAATTGTGTGTTATGTATGTTATTTTTGTGTTCATTTATGTAGGTATGTTAATTGTTTTGTTTAGGAAATTCATTAATAAAGCAACATTTCTATCAATTTTTTTTTTATTTAAGTTACAAATTTTCAACAAATACTTTTATTACTGGGTTTCTAAGAATAAGGTCGTTTTTGAAAATTACAATAATTATGGTTAAAAATTGTGTTGTAAACGTAACATGAAGTTATGTGGACCTGGATTTACATAAAATTAATAAATAAAAAAAAATTAACAAATATTTTTTACGCTGTATTAATGCGCTATAATTTTAGTTTTTATTATTATGTTAATGGTTATCGCTTAAAAAATTTGTATTTAGCTAAAACTAACAGTTGACATTATTAGAACAGCTATTATAATACGAGTCGTAAAAATCTGAAACCTGAAAAAAGTGTTTTCTTTTAGTAGAGACTATAGAAGGATAAAACGTATATTTAAGTATAATTTTTCTAAAAATTACTAACATGGTAAAAAGTTTTTTTCCTGTATTTTCACGCTAAGCAGTTGCGAGTGCATCCAACGGCCTTGAAAGAAAGTGGGGATATTTAAGTGGCGACGGCACATCGAGGTGCACCGTTTGCGCATCATTTCGCTACAGTTTATCATACAAATGCAAAACCCAAATGATTCTCAAACGGCAGTTTTAATCATCACTTTCAGTTAAACCAGTTTACTTTGTGACTCTGCCATTTCCATGCTTGACGTTTTCTGGCTCGCTCAATAATTTCCTCATAAAATATTCAAGATATTTTTTCATTGAATTTTTTAAACTTACTCATAAATGGACAAAATGTACCTACTAAAAACTGACTTTTCTCGACTGCGTGAAATCGACTCAACTCTATTATAGAGGGGTCCCAAAATTGGTGGACCAAAGGGAAAGGTTAATTTCTCTTGAAATTCCAAGACAAATTTTCTTCACATTTTTTTAACTACCAAAATTGCAGGAGTTATTTTTAAAGCCACCAACGAAAGCTGCTCCATCGAAATAGTTTTTTTTATAGTTTTTTTTTATATTTTTGTGTTTGCAAAAGACTAAATAACTTCTGAAACTTTGCGAAAACGAAAAAATGGCAAGGGCAATTTTGTCCCAGACCAGAGCCGGATTTAGCACGGGGCCAGCTGGGCCACGGCCCCAGGGCCCCCACCATTTAGGGGCCCCCACCAATGCAATATGTATCTTTTTAATGAAACAAATATGAAAAAAATTGACCTGTAATTTTCAATTAATTTTTCGTAGATCTAACTCTAATTTTTCGCGGATTTTTTATCTCTTATCCGCTTGCAAATCAGAATGTAAATTATCACACTCTAAGTTTTAGCGCGCGAAGACGTTTTTATATAGTCTATAGTCGTTTTTATATAGTCTCGGTCGTAAGTTATGACTCATAACAATTTTAATCAGTTGCTCCTTTAGTGCTTGTCGTAACGTTTTTGTAAATACAGGCAAACATAAAGTGACCACATCAAAAATGTCATCCGGGACAAAGCCAAAAAAAATCTGCCAAAAGCGGAAAAGTCCGCGGCAGACGCATTTTGTCGATATGAAGGCGATGGGAGGGGAAGGTCGAGAAAACAGAAAATCGTTTACATCAATCATCATTCAAATAATATAATATTCATATCATTCCATCATGCAGAATTTTATAATTTTATAAAAATATATATTTGAAAATTACTCCTTTTCAAACAAATTTTCCGTCATAATTTTTTACAGAAGTATAAAATTCTTCACAAGAAGAATTCTATAAATTATATTTTACAAAATGCATACATTTTAATGATTCCACGGACAGAAGTGTTTTCTATGAAGTCCACATTATATTTATTCCAGAAAATACCCGTTCGGTGGGAGCATTAGTTCCTAGGAACCAGCTGGTAGGCATGCATAATTCTACAATTCTTTTAATATTATGTAAGGGAACATTTTGGAAAATATTGAAAAATCTCAACCCATCTTTTGTCAATGGAAACTTTTTTAATCAATTGAGGCCATTTTTCTTCAGTATTTTTTTACTTGTGAGCATCCGAATTTTTTTTTATTTTGTGATAATTATAAGTTTTACAAATTTGTTATTTTGTGTAAGAAATTATACTCGTAAAAAGACATATATGTCACTATAGTGATTAACCGCAAAATTCCGGACATTTTCGGAACGTTTACTCTTGCGGGACATGTTGATAAAATCCGGGACTGTCCCGCAAAATCCGGGACGAATGGTCACAAGTTAGTTTTTGTCCCAGATTTTTATTGGTACATTGGAGTGTTGTAGAATATTTTCCGGTGTTTCCGAAATACTGTTTCGTGCTTTTCTTTGGACAAAAGATTGTTTTATTGTTTGATTTTGTATGAAAAACAGACAAATAATCCGATTTTTGATGCACTTTTTTTAGTTTGCGGTAAGTATTAAAAATACAAACAAAACATAGATCAATTTATATTTTACTTGAGTAAAATGTATATAAGGGTATGTTCGTATTATTCAAAATTTATAAAATATAAAGTATATAAAAAACACTTTCATTCACAATTCTATTCTACTATCTAGGTTTTTATAGTTTTGCATACAAATTTATAATTTCTCAGACTTGGGTAAAATGTATATAAGGTTATGTTCGTATTATTCAAAATATACAGGGTGATTCAGACTTGTGATGACAAAAGCTCAGGGGAAATTCCTCTCATTAAAATATGAAAAAAGTTCCTATAAACACGTGTCCGAAAATGCTTCATTATCGAGATACAGGGTGTTTCGTTTTTTATTTGTAGCTTAAAAATGGTTTGTCCGATTTTATTAAAATTTATATGGTTTATTAAATAATAAATAATTCAAAGATAATAAAAAATCACGTAAAGTTCCTCTAGATTAAAAATTAACCATGAGTTTTAATTTCCCAAGTGTCAACATTTTTAGAAATATTGAGGCCCCCCACCAAAAGTCGGCCCCAGGGCCTCAAAACTCTTAATCCGGCCCTGTCCCAGACTATTATAAGGAATCGACCCCTTTTGTTTGGCCCGGTGATTTTGGAACACCCTGTATACTAGCGTGGTTCTAAAAAAATAAGGGGTTATCTATATATGTTTTTTTTTCATTCCTTTATCGTTTCAATGCCGTTTCTATCCCGTTGTCTCGATCTCATCCCATTCCTGTCATGATCAAATTGACATTCTATAATAAATAGTTTTATAATGCTTAATTGATATTCGTTTTATAAACACATTTTTATTTATTATTTTATTTATTTAAAAAAATCATTATACTTTATTTATATTAAGTTTTAATAGCACCCAGGGGCTCTATTTTTTTTTAAGAATTAGTTAAAATTTTTTATTAAAAACCTATATGTATAATTACAAAATAAATTAAAGTAATCATCATTATTCCTATCCTCTTAAATCAATTAATTAAAAAGTTTTTAATGGAACTCAATAAATAACCATTGCATTTTTACCTTGCATGTCAACCTACTTTGTGTGAAGATTAATTTAAATAATAGATGTCTAATTGGTTAAACCATTACAAAGATTGATTTAATTTTTTAGCTGGCTGTCTGGCGCCGAGGATGCACAATGCACGGACGTCCATTACAGATCCTTGACGGGCGAAGGAAATTTCAACTGGAGATTTATTTTTCCCTTTGAGTATCTTTCCACAGAAAATCAAATGGTTTTTAAAAAGAAAGCTATGATTTATTCTAGAGTCGAAACTGAATTTAAAACTCCTTGCAGACTTACCTTGCAAGTGTGGGACAATGATACACTTTTACCCGATGATTTTTTAGGTGATATTAATATAAATATGATACAACAACAACAAGATATGACGTCACTCCTTTTGAACATCTTTTTTTTTCTTAAAACAATACAAACCCTTTTAAAATTTGTTTTTCCTGACGTTCTTGTTCTCGACTATTGAAAAGGTTTTTTAATGGAACAATAATTGTCCAATCTCTCTGCTTTGTATGCATGCTTTGTATGTCCTTATTGTCTGATCATAAGCTTATACAATTATGGCTCATATCTCTGTTTTTCTACATCCTGATTAATTTAAAAGATTTTAAAATTTATAAAAACATATTTTTAAGGTACGATGACCTTAGAACTGGCGAACTTGCCAAAGGGCTCGCCATCTCCACATAAATGCAATTTATCAATATTTGACCCGATGGCAAGAACTGTTAATCTGTTTAAAATAAAACGCACGAAAGGTTGGTGGCCTTTTTATGATAGGGATGAAAAAACTCGAGAAAATTTTCTTACGGTAAAAATATAAGAATCATTTATTACAATAAGGTATACATGTCAGATTAAACTTTTCTAGTAAACAGCCCTTATTGAATTTTATTTTAACGGCAATTTTGTTTAATAATAAAGTTGGAAAATATACTTACATTAAATTCTCCTGGCTATTTTTAAGTAGAATGGATGTTTAAAGTGAATTTTTTTGTCGGATTTTTATAATCGAATGTTTTTGAATTTGTTTAGTATTATACATATGTACATGTAGGTAGGTTATTTTTTAAATAAAAATAAATTTTTAAGAAAACGGAAATTATTTATAATAAAAATATTGCTTATGGCATGCCATTTGTCGATGTTTTTTGACTTGCTTGCGGGCCAAACTTGTCAAAAATGTGACTTATGGGGCTACCTCAAGATTTGGAATACTGAAAGAGTGGAAGGCCAAGATACGTTAGGAGAGGAAATCGATCGTCCACTTCTGGAAATACTAAATGCCAACTTTGTTCTAAGGCTCCTAAACAAAACAATTTTCAAAAACATTTGCTTACAAAACCCAAAAAAAGGGAATATATATCCACTGGAAATTTATTTTTACAATATTATTTAATAATAATTGTTAAAAATTTTCAGTATCATCTCTTTCTTAAGTAAATGGTAGGGTTTGTCCTTGAAATGTATTATTGTTTTAAACCTATTTTATAAAATAATAACAAACTTTTAGAATATGAACTTAAAATATCCAAATTAGGCATAAAATAAAATGTAAAAGTAAAACCTTTCACAGTCAACTTAAATCCAGTAATCTAAAATCTTTCTTATAATTAAATAATATGATAAACGTATATTTAATGTTCTTGATTTTTAATCAAATTAAAAATCGATTAAATTATTAATTAAAAAGCTTAGTGTATAAACTAAAGTGCACTTTAGTTCATTCATTAAGCTCTTCAATTATTATGTAACCACATATTGTTAACGTTTTAAAAAATATCTTAATAAATATTGTATTAACCCGGGACTACTGTCGCTACTTTTAACTTACGTAACTACTATCGTGTGGCCCCCACTAAAAAAAGATTTTTTTAAACCTTAAATAATTATTTTTGGCCTAAATAAAATATAAATGCAGTTAATAAGAAAATTTTATTTAAAAACAAAACAAAATATAATTTTTTTTTATTTAAAAACAAAACAAAATATAACAAAAAATCAAGTTGCATAAAACATAATTACACTGTGCGACAAATTTTGACCTTACAATTTGAACTGGGATGAAATGTGGAAAAATCGAATCTATGCAACCCCCAAAACTAATCTTTAAAGGGGTTTTGCTAGTTTAGCTCGAATAATGGAGATATACAGGGTGTTTCTTTTAACTTGAGACAGCTCAATATCTCGAGAAATACGCATTTCACGTAAAAATGTCTTAAATAAAAGGTTAATGTGACCAAAGGGGACATTATTTGGTGCTACCGCTAGCCACCCCCTATCCCTCCTTAAGGGTGAAACTGGGGGTAACTTTGGAAAGTCAAATGGAATGACCCGATTTTTTTCACAGAGTTTGGTAGTACATAAAAAAATGAATAACTTTTATTTAAAAGTTTTTTTCAATTTATCAACAGATGGCGCTGTAATTCAAAATTTAAGAAAAAGGAGTTTCCTTGTAAAATGTATTATTTGAAACGTTTGAAAAACAAAAATTAACATTAAATCAACAATAGGCGGCTCTGAAAACAATTTATAACAAATGTTCGAAATGTCGTCCTTCCATTTCGACACCAAGTGGAGCACCAGCGTCCCTGGTGGGGTACCTTAAGCGAACGATTAATCGGACCCTTCTTTATTGACGGTGCATTAAATGGCAAAAAGTACCGGAATTTTCTAGAAAACGATCTGACGGACCTTTTGGAGGATATACCACTAGCACGGCTCCAAAACATGTGGTACCAGCAAGATGGTTGTCCTGCACATTATTCGACAATTGCTCGAGAGGTGTTGGATCGAGAGTTCAATGGTCGGTGCACCGCGGTGGATCGGTAGACGTGGTCTAGTAATTTGGCCTGCTCGATCACCTGATCTTACGCCACCAGACTTCTTCCAGTGGGGTTACTTGAAAGAAAAAGTTTACGCTGCAATTCCTACAACTTGGGAGGACATGGTGGAGCGGATCAGGAACGCCTGTGCGGCGATACCGCCCGACATGTTGGCGCGTTGTGTGCCAGAATTCATTACCCGCATGCAAAAATGTGTTGAAATGGAATGACGACATTTCGAACATTTGTTACCCCCCGTTTCACCCTTAAGGAGGGGTAGGGGTGGCTAGCGGTAGCACCAAATAATGTCCCCTTTAGTCACATTAACCTTTTATTTAAGACATTTTTCCGTGAAATGCGTATTTCTCGAGATATTGAGCTGTCTCAAGTTAAAAGAAACACCCTGTATATCTCCATTATTCGAGCTAAACTGGTAAAACCCCTTAAAGGATTTGTTTTGGGGGTTGCCTAGATTCGATTTTTTCAGATTTGATCCCAGTTCATTTTTTGTGTTGCACAGTGTTATTAAATTGGTTTCTTGACTTAATTGCAGGGGCGTAGCTACCGCTGTATCAGCCGTATCAATGATACGGGGCCCCCTGCCAGGGGGGGCCCCCGATTGGCTTCGACATGCGTAAGCAAAAAACATATTACCCACATTTAAAAAAAATAAATAAATAAATAATATTATTTAATTGTTTATTCTTCGATTTATTAAATTACCCCTCCTGTTCCAACGAGGCCGTTAACTCATACGAAATGTTTCTGCCCGCACCTTTCCGCTATGCGTTGTCTGCGGCGCAGTCTGGGCATATTGTTCTGTGCTCTGCGCCTCATAATGAGTCTGCTTTGGGTGTTATTATCATACGTTATATTAATAGCAAATTAGAAATAATTATTAGCGTTACAACTATTTCTTTATTTTAAAATAAAAACCTTTTAAAAGATGTTGAAGAACGGTAAATATCTAAAACCAGACCAAATTTTAAAATTTGCCTGTACATAAAAAGCTATGTATACATGGGTGAATATATTGAGATGTCCCCCAAGTGAAAATGATTATTTTTTATTTTTAATTGTTTCACTGTTAGTCTAGAATGGGTTTTTTGGGAAGCCACCAGGTCTAGTAATAACAAAACATAAGTGGTTCTGCACTAATGTATTAAGAAATCATACATTTTGAATATTTTAGCTTCACGGAAGATAGCTTCACGGAGGTTAGGATTTCGTATGTTTTTTTTAAACCTTGATATATTTGAAATAAGTTATTGCATCTTTTGAATCCTAAATATTTTTAAAAAATACAATTGTACATACATAAAATATTTATAACAAAAATCTACTTACTGAGATATTAAACATCGCGGTGGATAGGTTTTTAAATAGCAAATTAATGAATTTAAACTTTTGAATTATAAAACAGCAACACTCTCATCTGCATATAAATTCTAACTGACCTTCAGGAATCACATGCATCTATAATGTCGTAAACAGAGGTTTTTGGTTATTTAAAATGATTAAAGCGCCATCCGTTGCATAAAATTTAAAGCAAAAACAGATTCACGGAGGATACAATCAATTTTTGCAACACCTACATAAATGGTTATAGAAATTATTTCTTTTATTTTTTAATAATATTTTATATTTGATTCGATTGCTTTGGATATGTTTAATTTACTTAGTGAACTGATATTTTTGGTATGCTTTTACTACCTCAGATATTTGAAAACATATAGGTTAACCTAGAAAGAGTAGCAGTCACGGAGGATAGGTTTTAGACTTTTAACATTGTAAAAAATAATTAATTGCGGTTAAAAATCTGGAACCTGAGCTGTAATATCTACTTAATTATGAAAGATCAAAACACAATAAAAGTGTAGGTCAAACTCATTTAGTTTTATTAAATATCACGGGGTAACACTATCGGGGGACATTTCGTGAGATTCACCCACATATATTATTTATTAAATTATAAAAATTGGTAAATGCAAAAAAATTATACCCTAAAATTTTTTTGCCAGCACCTTTTCCGGGATAAGGGCCCCTACCAGATTTTTGATACGGGGCCCCCTCGAGGCTAGCTACGTCACTGCTTAATTGTAATAATTCATATTCTGGTTTTTGCAACTAAATATTATTTTTACTCTTATAACGGGCTATGACCGTTCTAATATCACTTTTTATAAAAATAATTCTACATTATAATATAGAATTAAATGTATTCCTATAAATGTTACAGAATTAATTCATTCTATAATCGGATGATGGAAAAAACAGTGATGGCGACATCTCTGTGTTTATTCTTTAACAACTTTTAGACGGGTCCAACCTCACTTTCTCCCAATTAAATTATTTTATGGTATTTTTTGGAAAAGTAGAAAAACTATAGTCTAAAACACATTTGGAATTGCATTTTCCAAACTTACTAACAGAATATACTATTTCATTTACTTTTGCTAAAACCATTCATTTAGCATTAACAGGGTCGCCGAGAGGGTATAGGGGGCCTGGGGCAAATTTAGTTCTCGAGGCCCCCTAACTCGAAGCTAATTGTTTTGGGAAGGAGGAAGAAAAAGTGACTTTTTTCACACAATAGTTAATACTAAAAAACTTGTAAAATAATATAGTACACGAAGACAGTGCTAATAAATAGAGCCCGGAAAATCTTAAAAAAATCTGAAATAAAAGCTTAAAAAGCATAAAATTAGCTTAGAAAATTATTAAAAATCCAAGGTATAAGATCAATAATAAAAATCAATAAAAGGCATACAATTTTTTTTATAATTTATATATTTGTTTAATTAACATATATTTGCTTGTAATTTAATCGATAAGCATAATGCCTTGAAATCTGGGCTCCATTAATAAATAATAATATTAGAAATTAATGAAACCTTTAATACCATACAAAAACCAATTTTTACTGGTAACTTATAAATCCCACTTTATAATTTTACTTAAGTAAAATTAAGAAAAATAATTTTATTTTTCCTTTCAAAGAAAATTTTTTATTTTGAACTCAGTTACATATATCAAGTTATTGTAGGTTTATAGAAATATTTTTAAACTAATGCATTAGGTATTGAAAAAAAATAAATTGACTGTTAAATCAACATATTCAATGTTTACAATTTTTAAATTATTTTTTAATTCAGGGGCCCCCTGACGTTGGGGGCCTGGGGCAATGTGCCCCTTTTGCCCCCCTTTCGGCGGCCCTGAGCATGAAATACCATAAAGGAATTATAATAATAAAATTTTTAATATGTGTCAGAAACAAGTTATCTTTTTAACTTAAAATTACAAAATTAAAGTGCCTACTGGGTATTTTACATATTTTCAGAATAAAATGTTTAATATAAAGTGTCAGACACTAGATTTTTTAACTTAAAATTGCAAAACTAAATTACCTACCTAGGTATTTTAGATATTTTTAGAATAACGTGTTTGATATGATAAGGATTTTATAAAATATATGATATCTGCTTTTAGGGAAAAGTTGAGGCAGAACTAGAGATATTTTTATTGGACGATGCAATTGCTCAGCCAGCTGGAATGGGACGAGATGAGCCTCAATCATTACCTCCTCCAAAGTATGTAATGTAATGTTGTAACTATTATTTGAAAATTATAGATCATTAGTAACGTAAATTTATATAAATTTTTATTAAACGAATCTTAAAACTAAATGATGTTGCACAAAATAAGTTAAAATCAAGTAAATTGTAGGTCTTCATCGGAAATACATTTACCCAAGCATGGCTTCATTAAATTGCTTACCACTAACGATATTATGTTGACGCTTTGGGATGATGACTTTCCTTGATAAATTACTTTTTCTGACAGCAAGAAAAATCATATGAGTAACTTATATTAGTATTAATGGATAGCGTGGAGTCAAATTGATATAGATAACTTTAAACTGGCCTGTTGCCTTGTTTCCACGTGGAAAAATTGCCTGGCTGCATATGTTAAATTTTCTGTATATAAAATGTGTAACAACTTATTTGATTAATGATTTAAATATACTTAGGTTCAGAGTGGCATTTACTTTGTACTATAAATTAGATCAAGCATACGGAAATACCCACTTCGGAACTATAGTGATACAAATTTGCAAGTTTAAGGCAAACAGGGTTTGAATACGATCGATAATTGTTTTTAGCGCATTCGCTTTTAAAAAAACTTTAACATATTATTATAATATTTATTATTAATTCACAAAAAATATCAATTCAAAAGTTTTGCTTTACGAGTGTGCATATTTAAATATTCTGAATTTAATATTAAAGATCATTTTTTATCAATTCCATAATGTTTTATCCTGTAGATATATATAACATATTTAAAATAAAAAAAACAAATGAAGTGTGTCCACGGATGTACTTAACTATACTTGTAAAAATCTTTATTTTCAATTTTTTGAGAAAAAGTCATTTTTCATAATTTCTTTTGCTTGTTAGGTTAGTTAACCAGTAATTGACCAGTTAAGGAAATTTTCGTGAATAAATTATTATATTTTCCTCTATTTTTAGTTTAAAATAAAATAAAAAATATCATTGAGTTTAATTTTGTTTTAAGATTTGATAACAGCTGACTAAAAAAGAAAAAGAGTTTCTATGCCGACGAAAAAAAATTTAATGCACGAAAATTCATGATTTTCCAGTGGTTGACCAATGCCTTGTAAGCAGATATCATTAATAAAACTGTGCCATCTAGAAGTTAAGGGGTAAAACACTATGCAAATAATATAAGTTTTTAATTAGGTAATACAGGGACCTTGCTTTTATCATTTAATCAGTACATTGGTCAATAACTGGTTGATGGTCAATTACTGGTTAACTGACCCTATATAAATACGATTCGGGGTGAAAAATATCCATTTTATTGTACAGGGTGAGCAAAAATACAGATTTTCAAAATAAAAAAAATAAATATTTTTTTGAAGCGCTAATATAAAGAGCTGGTAAGAGGAAATCAAAAAGTCATATGAAGTTTTTTCACATGACTTTTTGATACCGTAAACACGGGTGGCTTTAGCTCACTTTCAAACCTAATCTTAACATTTTTGTAGTTTTAACAATCATGAACATTAAATATTGTATACCAAAATTTGAGTCTTGAGTTGCTCTTTCATAATAACTGTTATAATCTTACATAGGGCTGAGTTTCAAAAATTAAAATTAAAAACCGGGTGTGCAAAGTTACCCCCTGGTTGCGGGTTACTTGGTATCACAGTGTATTTTCCGTATAAAATTAACTCAATATTTTATTTTATTTTTATTAGACATATATTAGCAACGACATATAGCAATTGCAAGGGATTACCGTTAAAAACAATAAAAAATAGACCTGTAGTTAACCAACGATCATCATTCCAAAGAATTGCGCATAATATAGAAACTGACGCGTGTATTTTTAAGAGTTTTGCACTAATGCAATATATATATATATAACTTTAAAGTGTAATAAATCCCATTTATTTTTTTAAAACACTGATTTTCCTATAATATAAACTAAATAGAATCGCTCAATTGACAGGTTTAGACCAACAAATTATAAATGTTAATTTTATCGAGCACGAAAAATTTTTTCATAAAAGGGCTAAAGTCACCCGTGGGGTGCAAAGTCACCCGTGTTTACGGTACTAAGATATTTGATAATATAAAGAGCTGGTAAGGGGAAATCAAAAAGTCAAATAAAGTTTTTTCATATGACTTTTTGATACCTACTAAGATATTTTTGATATTGAAAATTTAAGATATTAGTTTTAAAATTTTAACAAATAATTGTAGACATTTTAGACATGTCAGTTGAAAGCAACAACCTTGATTCATAATCACAAAATGAGATAGCAGTTAATTTCTACGAAATAATAGGACCACTCAAGTTAGGTCCTGATCTGATTTTATTTTTAATAACAAATATCCTAGTAACAACAACTCACATGAAAAAACTTTATTTGACTTTTTGGTTTATCCTTAAAAGCTCTTCATATTAGACCTAAACATTTTTAACAATTTTTAATTTTGCAAAATGTACAATTGTATTTTTTTTGCTCACCCTGTTTAATAACAAGCAGAAGAAATTATGAGGAGTGACTTGCAAGACATGTCTTCGAAAAATTGAAAACAAATTTTTTTATAAGTATAGTTAAGTCCATCCGTGGACACACTGTATAATTTAATAAAAAGAAGACTACAGAACTTGATAATACGCTAAAAAAGCATCGCTAGTAGGGCCACCACATAGCCGTTATCATCTTAAGAATAATGTGTTATCCTTTATGGACATTCTATCAAAATAAAACAACATATTTAACCCTAGAAATAATAAATATTATTTAATAAAAAGAAGACTACAGAACTTGATAAAACGCTAAAGAAGCATCGCTAGTAGCGCTACCAAGTGGCCGTTACCAGCGTAACAAAACAACAACTTTAATAATCAGATCGCGTATGATACAAACAAATGTTTTTAAGAATAAAGTCGGAAAATGTTGAAAATATCGAGAGAAAAAAACGTGGCACGATTTGCTGTATTGTTGGGTATTTTTTAAGAGGAAATCTTGGGTTGAGTTTTAACCGCTTTTCCAATAAACCGTGGAAATCCAAATAAAGAAATAAATTTCATAAAGTCCTGCAAATATAAATTCTATTGTAGATACAATAAATACACATTTTAATAATGATTTACGTGAAAATTGTAAACATTTCAATTAAGTAAAAACCATAAAACAAATATGTCGTTCAAATTTAAACAGCGGTATTTATTATTAAAAGTGTTTATTGAGAAAGTCACTAAACGGTAAAAAAACCAAAAACGTTGTATGTAATATATATTATATTATGTTGCCATAAATTAAATATTCTGCACCAACAAATATACATACCGAAGTGGATTCTTTGTCAAAACATCAGAAATGCAACAATTTAGTTCTTGAATTACATTTACAATTAAAAATACAATAATTCATCATGATCACTTAGATAAAATACACACACTAACATAACTATGAAAGCATATAAGCGTTCAGAGTAATAAATCGAAATCGAGTACCAAATCAAAGTTTTGCAGTTTTAACCTGCAACGCGAAACACAAATAACGTGCGCGATTTCACTGTACAATTGAAACTTTGGGAACATAATTTGTCGAGTTCTCTGTTTTGTAAAAAAAACTTATTTATTTAAAAATGATTTGCATTCGTATGCTTTAAATATATTGACAATTCTTAAATTCCCACAATGCTATCGAAGGCGACCTGATGGAGAGCCTAATCACCCTACTGAAGATTAACCATCCCATTTAAGACGATTAATCCATTGGTAAACTCTTTATTGACGAAAAATGTAGGTATATAAGTTTTGCGTGCATAAGTTTGTACAAAAATAAGAAACAATCACCCAACCATACTATTGAAGACCATTATTCTATCGGTAAACTTCTTATTGACAAAAAAACTTACCTATACACAATAAAATTGCTTAAAAACAAAAATATTTTTTTTTATTTAAAAAATAAATAAAGGTAAAAAATAATATGCCCAAGAGAGATTTAAACTTCGATATGGAGCTTACAAAACAGAAACGCCTGGTATGTAGTTATCGAACAGGTTATTGGAATATGCACTCAAAACTTTTATTCGACATTTTAGCCTAATTTTTGAACGAAGGTTTGGAATTTTTTAGTGAAATATGTCTTCAGAAAAAAGCAAAATAGTGACAAAAATCGAGTTTATAATGACCGTTCAGAATCAGACTATTTACTCACAAACAACAATAATAAACTTTAGTGAATTGTTTGTATGCAAATACTATCATTTCCTAAAAAATAAAATGTGAAACGACATTACACTTTGTTACAGGAGAAAAAGTTTCAGAAGTATACAGAGGAGTCTAGAAATGCTATTATTACGGATTATAAGAAAAAGCTAAAACAACAAACACTGATAATAAAATTTGTTTTAATTTAATACAGTATAGACGCTTCTTATGAAGTAGCGCTGAAAGTTGTCCAAGCAAAAAAAAGTGCTTATTAAGAATTGTGCAATAAAAATGGCAAAATAATTCAATAAAACATAAATTGGCGAAAAATTCAAATCTGTGGGTAAAAGGCATAAGGGGATAAGTCAAAACAATCAATTTTTTAGTAGTGCCTTAAACGTGTTCGCATTAATTTAGGAAATACATTTATGGTTATCGGGTATATCCTTTTGCCAGCACATGTCATATGCTAGCAAAAGGGTGTACTCGCTGACCATAAATATATTTCATAAATTAATGCGAAAACGTTTAACTATGATTTCGCGAAAGAATCGAACGATTTTGGGGTATTTTTTTATAACACATCTCAGATTTTTTTTATATTTTAATATTGTGTTTATACATCTAATTCCACCCTAAATCTAAAATTTTTCTTTTATCTGACCCAAACTTTGGCTCCCAGAGACCATTTAATTTTACATTTCGCAAAAAGCCATAATTTCATTATATTAGCATAATTTTTTTATTAAAATACTGAATGTTTTGAGATGTGGTCCATAAATAACCCTTATTAGTACCTACAATTCTACCAAAAAAAAAATTAAATTTTTTACATATAGGTG